AAATAAGATGGCTTGTACACATAGCAAAGACTTATCTCCTCCTTGTCAACTCATAATAAGATTAAAGTCTAGTGACCTAGAGGAATTGCAAAACTGTTGAATGGTGATACCATGCTGGAAATGGCAGAAAATATGAACCGCTGTTTGGTCTCCCACTGTTCATGCAGAAGCAGTTTTTGGATCACTATTATGGATTGGTTCAGTGATGTGTTTAGGTGTATTAGGTTTGGTTAAATGTAATTTTACTTATGACTGTACGTGTATTAGTTGGTGTATTGTGTTTAAATTTGAAATTTGTAATTGTGAAACAGTGGCGGGTGTTTTGTATAAATTGATCCCTGTTTTTTGAATCAAAAACAGAGCATCATTTTCCAGTCGCAGCTCTCTTTCTTTCATCTGTTTCTCTTCTTTGTTTTCATGCAAAACCAACAAAAACATCCCATGGATTCTCCCACATGGTTCCTAAAAAGTCCCCCACTAGCTGCCAGGTCGAGATTGCCTTTGGGTAGTCCGTCGGTGTTGACTTTGATCCAAGGTCTCATAGGAGGATACCAAATAAAGGTATGAATTTTTGGGGCATTACTAAAACGAGGTCAGATTCCCAAATTATCAAAAAATAGTACTTGAAGATGAGTTAACAAAGCCATGGCATAAAAAGGCCAAAATTTGAATTTGTTTGAATGTGGACAATATTAGGCGGGTGTTCTCAAATCTCAACTTATTGCGAGCTTTCCAAATGAACCACAAAACTGTAAAGTACTATGCGACAACCACTAATTCCAAAGTTGTGAAAGAAAAGTTTTCCCGTGAATGAAGTTCCAAAGATCTTCGAAGGTGTTACATGTGCTCCAAGAGGTATTGAAAGTCGTCGCTAACCAACAACGCATATCTCTTGCCAAAGAACAAGATCCAAATAAGTATGCTGCATTTTCAGAGTAACTGAAAGAATGGCACATAACACAAAATGATAGACTTTCATCTGTAGGAAGACATTTATGTAGGGGCAGAGTTCTACCAAGTAAAGTCCGGACACTATAAGCCCATATTTGCAAGTTTGTCAGCAACACCATTCCCTTCTCTAAAGATATGTGAGTGATGGAAAGTGATTTTGCTCAAGAGATGCAGCCAATTATGTAGAGTCCAAGGTGGAAGATAAGATGGTGAAGTGAGAAAACTTAAAGCGGCTGAAGAGTTGCTTTCTAGCCATAAAAATTTCCATCCTTTAGAATAGGCCATTTCAATAGCCGAATATATAATAGCATAAATCTCACTGTAATAAACTCTAGTGACCTAGAGGAATTGAAAAGACATCCCATGAATTCTCCCACATGGTTCCTAAAAAGTCCCCACTAGCGGCCAGGTCGAGATTGCCTTTGGGGCATTACGAAAATGAGGCCGGATTCCCAAATTATCAAAAGTAGTAGTTGTAGAAGATAGAGTTAACAAAGCCATGGCATCAAAAAGCCAAAATTTGAATTTGCGCCTTACATGAACTTTGAATATGGTTGTTCCAAATGGTGTTGGCCCAACTTCCATCTTCAGACTTTAGAGTCTTCCCAAATAAGCCTATCAGAACAATGTCTTGACTCTAGAAGTAAAAAGGGAACCAAATGAAAATCCTATCTGATTGTATCAAAGGCTTAGGTGATGTCCAATTTAATACCAAGGTTAGAGACCCTTACTTTCTTTCCCAAAAGTTGGATATTCTCTGAAACCATACCGATACAAGTGGAGATGTCTCTTCCTTATATATATGGGTGGAAAATGTTGTAAATATGTTGTTATATTTGTAAAGAAGGAGAGTAGTATTCCTTAAAAGGAGAAAAGAATAAATTAACTTGTGGATGCTTAGTTTAAATGTTGGAAATTATTGAATGGGTGATATGATCCTTGTGATGTATCAATTAATCGCGTGAAGGTGTCTTGAATTCTCCATTGGAAGACACCTGGAGGCTTCAAGAGGTGATTAAATCTCATGGAGGCAGCTGGCTTGGTTTAGTGGAACAATTGTGGAAGATACCTAGAAGCTAACATGTTGCTGGCAGCTTGAAATGAAGGCAGCTGGTGTTTAAGTTTCTCATGAAGACAGGTGGAGTGGCCGACTGAAATTCTTCAATAAAAAGAAAGCATAAGCTGCGGGAAAATCATATGAGAGTGAAAAAGAAAGAGTGAGAGTTAGAATGATTTTGAGAGAAAAATCAAAACACAAAGGGCATTTGGATCGGGTTAATATTAAATAATTGAAGTAATATTTTTGAAATTGAGCAGATAACGATATTTGATTGGTTTGTAAAAAATTATTCTTGGAATATTTTATGACAAATAATGGCATTTGAGGGCTAAATTGTTGGGAATCTTAATACTTTAGGGGGCTGTTATTAAAACTTACCCAAGATAATATATTTTGTTTTTCATATTGTCCTTAAACAATTGAGCATTTGGTCCAAATTAGCTTTATATTTGTTAAGATTTACAAAATACTCAATTCACTCATGCAAACCCTTTTGTCCTCATTATTTAAATTTTTTAAACGATTTTGCCCTTGTTATTGTCATTATTTACAGAAACATCATTGTACCCAAAACTAGGCACCATTGCCAGCCACCGAAGACCACTGCCGGGGGCTGCCAAAAGTCGTCATAATGGCGTACGACCAGCCGTATATGGTCGATCATGCGCCGATGAGACCTTTTTCGACTATAGATTACAAATTCATGTTCGGAAACGGCCAAAGACCTAGCCATTTCACGGCCAGATCTATGGCCGTGAAACAATCAGCGTTTCACGGCCAAAGACCTGGCCGATTCATGACCAAATTTGTGGTCGTGAAATGGCCACATCTTTGGCTGTGAAACGACCATGGCTAGATCTATGGCACTACCAGCGTCACGGCTAGATCTGTGGCACTATTGGCGGCCGCCGATGGTGGTGGCTGGCTGCCAATAGTGGCTTGGGGTGGGTATGAGTGTTTTTGTTAAGTTCAAAACTTTTTTGTTGCTATGATGTTTTTGCTAAATCTGAAAAGTAGAAGGTTAAAAGAAATTATTTAAAAAATAATATTATATTATTATTTAAAAAATAATATTATATTAATATTTAAAAAGGAAAGCAATTTAGTATATAACATACCCACCCATTTATCCTCCTAACCAAACATATTATTCACCAATTTATTCGAACCAACCAAACACATTTTTTAAATATTCTTAGTAATCTTGAAAATAATTTTTTATTCTGTTAATATAATATCCTCTATAATAAAATATTATATGATCTAAACGCCTCCAAAATCTCATATTTGTATTCCAAAAGAGAGTGTGCTGCGAGGGAGAAATTTGTGTTATCCAAATTACATAGTGGATCTTTTGTTTCTGCAGTGGTTTTTTTTCCATAAGGGTTTCCACGTAAATCCTATGTTAGCTATTATATTTCTACAGCATTAATTTTTAGGATTATTCACTACAAATGGATTATATAAAGGTGCAGCATTAATTTTCAGCATTATTCACTACAAATCGATTATATATATGTGTGTTAATTTGAAGGGGGTTCAATTTTATATATTTTTTCTCTCAATTTTGATGTAATATTCGTAATTAATTCATTTATAAATTATCATGAATTGATCAATTACACATTATTATATAAAAAAAATTAAAATTAAATTATAAATGAACTGTTACCATTTTGCAATGCATGAAACACGTTTGGGATAATTTTCAAGAATCTGTTTTTACAATCAGCGTGTCCGAAGACGTCTTGTCAAAGTCTTATAAACTATAGAGGGTGTACGTTTCTGACTGCTTTGGTGTATCTGAGGGACGTCTGGTCAAAGTCTCTTCTTTCAAGAAACGTACACCCCTTATAGCTCACTCCATCTGAAAAGCAGTGTCGTCTTCCTCCTTCTAAATCTTCAGACTTTTAATTTTACTTTCATGGATACTCCCGTGGCGGGTCTCCACTGTCAGATCAATTATTCACATTAAAGTTAATATCGATTGATTGATGTTCAGTTTTTCTTCTCTCTTTATACTTTCGCTCAGAAACCTCTCTCAGACTCCCACCATCCTCTAAAATAACTTTTACTATCAAACCACTCAAAATACTTTTGCTCTCATTTTTTAAAATATAGTTTAAAGATACAAAGGTCGCTCGGAATCTACGATCTTTACAAAAATCTAACAAATCTCGAGTAAACTACGCAATATGAACACTAAAAAGAGATATTACATCAGCCCATAAAACCACTAAAAACAGAAAACTCCAATCCAGTTATAAATAGGTGAAAAAAATGGGTTGGGTTAGACGAGCTAATCCTAATCTGACCCATAAAAAAGAAGGTTCAAGGCGAGCCAGGTTGAGCCCAACCCGCCAGCAACCCTCGGGCGGGCCGGGTTGCACAATGGCAACCCAGCGGCCTGCGGGTTGCTATTTTGTCCTCTTTGCAAGAGGACTGCAATCCGCCGGGTTGGCTGTTGCCACCCAAAAAAAATTAAAAAAAAATATATATTTTTTTTATTTTTTTCAATTACACTTTTACCCTTGAAATATAGCCGTTGGAGGGGTCTTTTTCGTCATTTTCTTTCCCCATTTTTTTCTATAAATTGGCTCTAAACTCTCATATTTTTCTCACAACTCAAATTCTCTCATTTTCTCATATTCTCTAATCTCTATTCTCTCAAGTCTCAATTATTCATTTATTCTCTTAATATTTTTGTTATCAATTTGCTCTTATTTTAATTTTTATTAGTTTTGCAATTTTCAATTCATATTTCCAATTTTCCAAATTCCAAATTTCCAATTTCCATATTCCAAATCTCTTTCTTTAATTTTTATTTCTTCTACATCATTTTTTTTTTCAACTACAAGTCTACAATGGATAGATATTTCTCTCCCTTCAATTTCAATGATGAAGAAAACTATTATCCTAGTCCTAGTCCCGCTGATTTTACTATGAATGCAGGAGATTCAAATAGTCCNTTTTTTTTTTTTTTTAATGTATGTTAGGTGCATGCCCCAAATTATTTCTTAAAGGAAAATTCTACCTCACAATAGTGCACATAATCACAATAACAACTTTCAGTCGAGAGATGAAAATGATATGAGATTTTCATCTCTATTTTGTCTTTCAGTCTTCTTGAGACCATGTTTAGAATATTGCTAAGTCCTAAGTCATTGCTGGTAAAAAAAAATCTCATTTTTCACTTCGTATTTTGTGCAGAAAAGTAGGTTGGGAATCAAAACCTGGAGTCATTTAAATGCATTGTTAAGGGGAGAAGTCTTTATAGCTTTGGCTAATTTTGGCCATGACAAAACTCAACTAGAAGCGATGGAGCGCTTTCAGGTTTTGTTGAAGGATAAAGACACTCCAATACTTTCCCCTGATGTGAGAAAGGTAAAATAAAGCCTAAACATCATGTTTTTTCCTTGTTCCTTTGAACATTTTAAAATATGATATGCAGAAACTTGTTTTGCTCTGCAGGCTGCTTACATTGCTGTAATGAGAAATGCTACCACCACAGATAGGCGAGGCTTTGACTCCCTACTGAAGTTTTATAGAAAAGCTGATGCAACACAAGAGAAGGAACTGATTTTACGTAAAGACTTGTTAAAAATTATGGTCTTGCATTCACCTCTTATCTGTGATTGGGACATTGTGTGAATTTGATGTTCTATATTTGACATGCACAGGGGCTATAGCATGTTCTCCTGACCCTGATATAGTTGCAGAGGTTTTGAACTTTTTGATGTCAGATGAGGTCTCTCTCTTCTCTAACTAAGTTACATGCTGTGATAGCTTGAATTTTCTCGCAAGTATTATATTTACTGAGTTCATCGCAAAATCCTTTCAGGTTCGAGATCAAGATGTTATTTTTATACTTGGTGGAATAAGCCTAGAAGGCTGTGAAACAGCATGGAGATGGTTGCAGGTATGCAGCTCCTTGGCTGATTTAACCTTATGTATCTTATCGATATCACATCTGGGTTTTTGAAATAATTGGTTGTGAGTGTCATGAAGATTTGGAAAATTAATCTAAGTAATCTACAATAATGTCGGACTCTTTCTTAATCCTCAAATTAATATAATCGCGTATGTTTGATTATAAATGCAGGAGAACTGGGACCAAATCTTAAAGAAATACGGTTCAGGAATTATACTCCATCGTTTCGTTAGGGGTATTGTCACACTGGTAAGCAATCAAGTAGGAATTTGCATATGCCAGATAGTTCATAGATTGGATTCAATACTATTATTGCCCTATTGAACTTTAAGTTGACTCCCTTTTTTTCATCTGGCAGTTTTGCAGCAATGAAAAGGCTGATGAGTTTGAATCATTTTTCAGAAATCATGTGAACCTTGGAATTGAAAAGATTTTGATGCAAAGCATTGAACGAGTCCGAATCAAGGCAAGATGGATTGAAGGCATCAAGCAAGAACATTCTCTTCCAATCCTACTCAAGCAATTAGCTCATAAAGGGTGAAAGTATATTCCATGATTTTAATACTAAAGAACATTATTTGCCTGTCTTGTAGCATTAATAAAACGACTGTAATGGGGCCCTCGAATTACCAGAAGACATACAGGAAACTTGTTCACAGAACAAGTGCATGTTTTTATATCAAGACATTATGTAGCTTCATGTTCATCATACGTTCTGAAGATCTTATGGTGATCTTATAAACTGCATTCTCTCTTTCATAATGTAGAGTTCTTGGATCCCAAAGCAAAATACCGAAAGTTTCTTATAATCTTGGTCCAATAAAAGCAAATTTCCCAATTATCTCTCTAAATTCTCTCTATTAAACGCCTAAAAAATATTCAAAAAAATCGTACATCTAAAATTTTCAAGAATGTATACAATTACAGTTCGTATAACAATAACAATTTCACCTCCGCAGGCAGACAGCAGAAAAGGGCAGCTAGTCATTCAAATAAGCAAGATGAAAATTTCCTACCAATTTGCAACAACAAAACTTAAGAGAAATTCTTTTTTAATAAAAACCCTTACAGAAAATAGGGAAGATCTTTGTTGACTGGATCTCAGGAATTCTATTCTTGAAACCCCAGTTGCCAACAGCATTGATATTCTCTCCTACTTGAAGAATTTCCTTTGGATGAATCAAACCAACCTTCAACAGACAAACAAAGTAGAATATCATACATTAGTAATAAAAATGACCAAATAAGAAGAAAGATAAAATGTTATTAAGCAAATTTAGGGTTTGCAAAAACTGAACTTATAGGGTACCCATAACAAAAAATTGTCTTAATTTCCTCAGAAAATGTACCAGAAACTTTAAGATCCATAACATCTGAAATTTTTTTCATAATTTCTTGAATAAAAATATGAGGAACTCTAACAGGCACCACCTATTGATAGGATAAAGCAAAGGGTAATGGATGTGCACAGCAACACAATCAGATGGGCCTTGAATGAGAGTAAAAGGAACTTGTAAAAGCAAAACAAATATACTAGATAAATCAGAGCTATAAAAACCACAAAGAAACAAAATATAAATAGCATTAGATTAAACGAAAGGAGGAAAATGGTTTTAAGGATTCAAATGGGCAAGTAGAAAAAGTTATAAAAGTAGAATCTTGTAAAAGAAGTTCTATCGAAATTGCAACTCAACTAAATCTTAGTTACACCAACCAGGCCGACAAAGATGATATCAAATGAAAATTGAAGCAACTAAAATCTTACAGCATGCTCCTCCAAAATCAAAATAAAATGCTCCCAACTTAAAGCAAAAGAACTACAATTGTCAGATGAGTACTACAAAATATTAAATGGATGTGAAATATAATGCGAAATTGACATGAATATCTATTGTAACTAATGCAAAAAATGCTATAAGTATAGTGATATTGACAAAAAATATCGCTCCGCTTGGTTAACTATTTTACACTTTTTAGAATAGTTTTTTAAAAAAAGTTAGATTTGGAGATGTGTTTGTTTCATTATTTGAATACCATATTTGAGTTAAATAAATTAATGAATAATTATTTGATATGTTTTTTTTAAAAGGATTTTAAGATAGAATATTTTGATATATTTTATTTAAAATTTTTATTATTTGATTATTGAACTTTTTAATTCACATTTAAATAATATTAATTAGTTGTTTGGTAATTTTTTTATCACTGAATTAAAAACAATTTCTCTACAATAATTTCTACTATTAATATATAATTTAAAAACACGATATTAATACATATCTAAATTAATAATACGAAGCTACTAATAATCATCTCTCAGAATTCTTTGTACCCCAATATTCAGTTAACAATATGACATGGACTCATGTTCTGCCCACATAGCAGTAGTTATGCTATCCCTAACTCTTCCCATGTCCTCTGTATTACGCTGAGTCAGTTGATTCGAACCCGTCCCATTTCCTTCCTCATAAACTCCATCGGCATTAAACTTTTGGAAGATAGGGTCGTTCATATCGAACCTTTTGATAAAATTATGAATTACACAACATGCCATAACAATTTTAGCTTGCTTCTCCAACGAGTAATTGTTCATGCCATCAATAATGCAGAACCTTTTTTTCAAAACACCAAAAGTCCTCTCCACAACATTCCAAAGCGATGCATGTCTGTAATTAAACAACTCCATAGGTCCAGAAAGGTTACGACGCGCATCGGGAACATGATAAGGAACCCGTCTATGTGGGGCGAGGAACCCACCTCTATTCGCATAACCTGCATTTACTAAGTAATATTTGCCTATAATGAAATACTGGATGTTATTTGAAGAATCATAAAAAAAAAAAAAAAAAATGTTTACAGCTTGGCTACAATACATAAACAAGTTAGTTATACCTGGAGGAGGATGTGGGAAACCTGAATTAGGATCATTTAGAACTGAATTTAGAACTCTTGCGTCATGGGAAGATCCTTCCCAACCAGTGACGACATATGTGAACAACATATTGAAGTCGCAGACGGCCATCACATTCTGCGACACTGCCCCTTTACGATTTCGATATGTATCAGCTACCTCAACTGGTAACCCATGTACATGTGTACCGTCAATCGCTCCAAGACAGTCCTGTCGACAAAATTGCATTTTAGTAATATGTGAAGACAAACAACAATTATGAAACAATGAATTGTACTATCAACTAATTAAAAATAATTAAGTACCTTAAAGAATGAGTAGTACTTTGGGTTGGTCGATATCTGCAATAGAACATCAGTGAAGTTAGGTGGCTTGATAAAGTCTGACGTCAACTCCAATATCGCATCACAAACTGCATAGACATATCTAGAGATTGTCTCCCCAGAATGTTGGTAATCCTCCCTACAATCACTATTTGACACATTTTTCTCAACTGTTGTCAAAAATATCATTACTTGTTCTTCAATACTCATATGTCTGATTACTCGCAGTTTGCCTCGTTGTGCCAATATATAACATAAGGTTTGAAAACATCGTTTGCTCATGCGACACTTATTGTATATTCTTGTATAATGACCATTTAGTAGTTTTACCATATAATCATGACCATTTAACGCAGATGTATGTATAGATTGGCGTCCGTGCATGTTAAACTCCATTTCATATGCAATAACCCCACACAGTGCTGCAGCAGCATGTATATATAACTGTACTTTCTCATTGTCATTATCTTGGTTATGGTTCGTATGGCTAGACAATGCCATATAAACCTGTTCATTGTAATAATTTGTTCATTAGTTCATACCTTTTTAATACTAACCAAAATATAATAACATTCAATTTTTTTAATTAGTTGACCATATCCAACATATATGAACCATTACATAACAACACATGGTGTATCGATTCTTAGAACAAAGCAAGTTAAGACTGTAAAGTAAATATAAAATATCTCAAATGTCGAGGGACTAAGTAAAGAGAAAAAATGGAAAAACTACAAGTTCAACAAGGAAGTCAAACACTGTCATCTACATTCTACGGAAATCATTAGAAACCCAAAATTCCCTTATCTAACTTTTTTATATTTCTTTATTTCATAAAATTTTTCGATTCTTTTAACTTTTTTTTTAATTAAAAATAATATAATTAATTAAAAACAATTTGAATAAACTAGAAAAAAAAATCAAAATTTTGAATCCACTCCACTTCATATTCAAGCAACTCAAACGGCAACCCAAACAAAGCAATCCCACCACCATAAAACGCCATAAAAAACTAATTCAACACTTCCAATCAAAGAAATAATAGAACCATTCCATTCCATACAACAAACAATCAAACAAAAAATATTTAGAAAAACAAGAAATGTAAATATCTTAAAGCATATACTTTCTCGTACCTTCGGAGAGAAAAAAAGACATAGGAGAATAAGAAATTGATGACGATCGATGACATTTGGGTGTTGGGAAATAAGAAATTGGTGAGGACGGATGACAAGGCATATTGGGTTTTAGATGTGACTGCTATTGTTGTTGTGGAGGTTTTAGATGTGGCGTTTTTATGCGGTAGCGGTAGCGGTGGTGGTGGTTGACTTTGTGGAGGCCGAGACAATTTCGACGAGATCCATGGAGCAATTCTTAGATAGCAAGCACTAGCTCCCAGTGGGACTTCATAAAAAGCAAACAAAGATAACATCGAAGAGAATGAAACGCACGTAGTGGTCATTATAGTGAAGGATTTTGGGGTGTGGGTGGCTGAGGTTAGGGCACAGAAAGAAAATTGGGGTGGCGGTGGTGGGATGGGGAAGAAAGATAAAAGGGAGAATGTTTTTTTTTAGGGTTTAGGGTAAAAAACTTGAAAGGATTAGTGTGTTATATTGTTAAGTAGGATTGGGTGGGTTATTATAAGGTAGAATTTGAAAATTAAAAATATTTAAGGACGTTTTTGTTTTATTATTTGTATCATATTTTCAATCTTATTCTTAAAATATATGTTTATATAATTATTTAGAAAATACTATTCTATTTTTTAATTACTTTTAGATCCTTTAAGTTTATTAATTTAATTAAATACTCCTAGAAAAAAAGGTTTAAAAATTAACAAAAACACCTCTATCTACCCATAATTGCCAGATTCTGGCAATCACCGTTGGTGATTGTCAGAATCTATGACAACGATGTAAAAACGACCGAAATTGACCTGTAATTCGCTGATTTGGGCTTTTCCGATCAGACCCACAGTGAATCTGATCGGAAAAGACCAGATCTGGCCGTTAGTGACGACCAAAGAAATGACCGTCGTTGACCGTCAACGATGGCCATTTCTTTGGCTATCGCTAACGGCTAAATCTAGTCTTTTGTGACCGTTGACGACCAGATCTAGCCGTAGATTTGGTATTTTCCAGCCAGATCCGTGGTGGATCTAGCCAGAAAAGACCATATCGACGCACGACCAGCCAGATTCGACCGTCTGCATCGTAACGCCATTTTTTGGCCAGATTCTGACAGTGGTGGCTGGAGTCTGGCACTGTGGGTGGATAGGGTGTTTTTGTTATTTTACAAAAAATTTATACATTGGGGTGTTTAGTTAAATTAGCAAACCTTGGGGGTTTTTTTGTTAATTTTTAAATTTTATCTTGTAATACTCACCCTATTCAACTACCCAATATTATTCCTAAAATTCTATCCAAAATAACAAAACAAACACACCGTAAATAATTTAGGATAGGATTTTGAAAATAAAGAAATAAATATGCATTTTGATTTGGAATAAGAATAAGGTAGAGAAACAAACGCACCAAACTTTTTCTTTTATTTACTAAATTGATTTTTAATTAAAAAAATGAATTTATTATTCTACTTTTTCATAGCTTTATTCTACTTATTCCATTGATCAGATTGATAAAAAATGGAAAAATTTATTGCAAAAAGTTTTATAGGTAGAAAAATGTAACTACGATAAACCTCGCGTGAGACATTGTCATTCACCACAATAACAATGATCAATTTAAAATATAAAGAATTACACTAAATGCTACATAAATCCCATTTTCTGTGTCTAACCTAAGACTAAGATAATGTTATCTTCAAGAAATTAAACTTGCTTAGCTTCTAATAATTTGCTTGTTTATTGATTTTTATTTATTTATTTGTGGGTATTATTTGTATTAAAGAATTAATAAAATGAATTTTATGGAAAAGATTAAAGAAATCGAAGCCGAACCAGAAAAATAAAACCATAGGTAAATCAATTACTTGTATAATGTTTACTGAAATTGGTAACGTGGTGTAGTATCAGATTTGCCTTATAGAACTTCACATTAGTATTGGCACCAATGTTTTGTTTACTGGTGGAAAGTTTTATGTTAGGAATGTGATGTTACATGTTCCACGTCCAGATCAGTTTAAAGTGTACTTTAACTAATCTATCGGGACCTTATAACTATCGGTCGAGTAAGAGCTCTAATGACTACTTTTATTAACAACCGAAGAGAGACTTAAAATCAAAACCTTTTAAATAATATATCCAAAAGTCTCTATGAGGCAGTATTTGCATTCTAGAGATGTTTGAAAACTGGGGAATATATAATAAATTCTGTTGACGCTTGATTTTGGACGCCAATGACTCACACGTGTGAAATGCTGAGCTGGCTCAGGAGACACACGTGATGAATTCATGAGATTTGAATATGGAGCTGAGATTATATATTTTGCAGAAAAATAAACAAAAGATTGGCAAGAGGGGGTTTTATAGTGGTTCGGATGCTCAACAAGCGACTCATACATCCCCTGTTATTTTATTGCTCACTGACTATTTCTATGATTTTGCCCGTAAAGCATACAAAGATGAAGAAATACAGTGTTTTCAGAGAGAGAACGAAATGAAGCTCAAATCTCACCCAACCCCTTTCTTCAGGAAGAAGAGTGCCCATTTATACACCTTTGCACTCAATGTAATGAGTTTTTTGCAAGTTGTCTTGACACATGGAAGACTCTCGTCCATTCATCTCTTGAAATGAGATAAAGTTGGTGAGAATATCTTTAGAAATATAGACTCGGCAGCTGATACAAGAAAACATTAAATGAGCTGACATAGGGGTGACTTTTTAGGCATAACAAATTCCATCCCATAAACTTGCATTGATTGTAGATACATACCCAGAAGTTTACTTTTGACCTGTAGGCGAGATCTGCTACCATCTGATCCTTAGTCTTGCAGGAAACAGAAATACCAGTCATTCAAACAAGCAATATGGATATTTCCCACCAATTTCCAACAACAAAACTTAACAGAAATTCTACCCTTATAGAAAATAGGGAAGATCTTTGTCTGACTGGATCTCAGGGATTCCATTTTTGAAACCGTAGATGCCAATGACATTGATATTTTCTCCTGCTCGAAGAATTTCCTCATAACCAATCAAACCAACCTTCAACGAGCAAACAAAGTAGAATATCATACATTAATCAAATTAGGCTTCACAATATCTGAACTTACAGGGCTCCCATAACCAAAAATTTTCTTAATTGCCTTACTAAATGTAATAAAATCTTCAACAGGCTCCCACCATTGATAGGATAAAGTTAAGGGTAATGGATGTTTAGAGCCATGCATGTCCACAACAACATAGTGATCAGACCACCTTTGAACGAGAGTAAAAGGAACCTGTAAAAGTAATACAAATATACTAGATAAATCAGAGCTATAACAACCATAAAGAAACTAAATATAAATAGCACTAGATTAAACGAAACAGGCAGTACGTTATGAAGCAAACTGAAAAACAATGAGATACCTTTTTGATGATTTTCTCTCACAAAGGTATTAGAAAGTAGGTATTCATGGGGTTGTAACGTCCATAAACCTGATGAACTTGAATAATGAAACATGTTTTTTTAACTGTAGCTGTAACTCTGGGAGTGACTCCCACTCTGGAATTTTACGGCTTGGGTAAAAAATCCACGAGCTAGCCACCATTGTAATTAAGCTAAAACTATCCATATACTGATACTAAATTAGAATATCGAGAGATGATATGAAACCAAGAGCAATGCTATTATAGAGAACACTCAAAAAATATGTATTATAGATACAAGAATATATAAGAGTCCCTATGGCCAGGTTACATAACATGGCAAGCTGATGGAACCTTATCAGTTTTAAAACTGAAGTGGTGCCTGATATTCAACATTTCTTTCACAAGATGCCTCCAGTGCAGGATTCCCTGGCTGCTGCAGCTTGAAAAGAAAACAACACAAAACTTTAGCATGAAATAACTTTAAAATAAATACACAGACTCACATTGTGAAGTTACAAATTCCACAGTAAATGCAGAGGATGTTAAAACTGATTTTTGAGTAATATGTGTACCATACTTAATAATATTATATAAGATTCCCTATGGCCGCTTTACCTAGTCCAGTTTTCATTCAACAGCATTAGAACCCAATTGCAATAGTTCCACAGTAAGTGCAGAGGATGTTGACTACTAGGACTCATCAAAAATTCTACTATTCTATTCTTCTCTTCATCTCTTCGATAAACTTCTGTTACATCAATGGCAGAGGTGGTCATTTCCGTGCTACTACTTTGCTCCCCTTACTAATTGATCTAATGTTGAACCTCTCTTTCTCTACAGCAATAATGCCTAGTTTTCATATCTAAATCTTTTATCTTGACAGCAATGACATAACGCAAAACCAATGGTATTAAGACAATGGAAACAATTTAACTACTAAAATTTGACATCATTAAACTTAATTTAGTTAATAAATACAGAAGTCGAACGCCCATTTTAGACATTTAAACGGCTGCAACTTTAAACCCTCAATCTCAAGTTCTCTCTCCTTGCTTCTTACAGATAAACTCTGGTTTCATTACTGGTAACAGACACGGGAAACTTTACTATGAACCTGCATCTGGATAGTGCCGAACTTTACTGTGCTGATTTTCACGTCGGTAATTTGAAACTTTTTGGGTGGGAAAGTTCATTAAGGCAAACCTTGGGTGGGAAAAAGTGATTTACTCTATAAAGAAATATGATTTCTTGTATGTAAATTTACGTGACTTTGACATAATATCAAGTCACTTCAACTCTATATCTATTCTTCAAAATCATAAAAAAGATCTATAACTTAGGATGAAATTTTTTATAATTTCTTATAACTTATGAGCAATTTTGTGGATTTTGTGAAAGTAAAATTGATTGGTAACGGTAGCTCTTTGAGATGTGAAGCCAAATTAAAGTTACACTAAAGACAATCGATGAACTAATTTGTACACCAGGTGGTACTCATGAGTAGAAAACTAGTCGGATTATGTGTTAGCTTTTGTCGAAAATAATTGAACGGTTGTAGACGCTAAAATCTGACTGGATCTTTGTCTGACTGGATCTCAGGGATTCCATTTTTGAAACCGCAGATGCCAACGACTTTTATAGACTCTCCCGCTCGAAGAACTTCCTCGGAACGAATCAAACTAACCTTCCACAAGCAAACATTAGTGATAAAAATGAATAGATAAGAAGAAAGAGAAAATGCTATTAAGCAAATTTAGGCTTCACATTATCAGAACTTACAGGGCACCCATTACCAAAAATTGTCTTAATTTTCTCAAGAAATGTACGAGAAACTTTTAAGTACAGGGCACCAATAACCAAATTTTTTCTAAATTACCTGAGGAAATGTACGAGGATCTTTAACAGGCTCCCACCATTTACAGGATAAAGTTAAGGGTAATGGATGTTTAGAGCCATGCAAGTCCACAACAACAAAATGATCAGACAAATTATCACACCAACTAGGCCGACAAAGATGGTATCAAATGAAAATTGAAGCAACTAAAATCTTACAGCATGCT